GAGTTCTGGCTGGCTGGTTCAACTCATTATTCTGACCCAAAACTCCTCTCCATGCTGACTGATTCAATCTGTCGTCTCTCTTTCTGCTTTACTTGATGTCATACTAACTTTAGCAATAAGTTCTAATCTTCTGGTTCCTTCTCATTCTCTGGCTTGTTCTGTCTTCGTCTGTCTAGCTTGTTCTCCCTCTGCAATGTGTCTCTATACAACTCTCCTGGTAAAACTATCTCCTCTTTTCCTTTTCTCTTTGTTCTGCTCTCTCTCAAGTAGTGTCTTTTTCCTCTCCTTGTGAGAGTTGGGCAGATCCCATTCTGACAAATCTTTCTCTGAGTCATCACTTTATCTGCTGCTCAATTAGACATCATTTTCAAATATGAGTGCTTCCTTCTACAAACTAACCTCATTGTTTGTAATTAAAGGTGTGTGCTAAGAGATGAGCCATATTACAACTAGAAGCAGACATTTTTAGTAAATAACCCAATCTTGGACTTCAGAGTATAATCAAATATCCTACAATAAACAAGTTTTCTTTTATCACCTTGACCTCGACTCCAGCTACTGCCATTATATAATAGAAATGGGACTTGAGCTGTAGGCAAAGAGAGCCAGACATGGACCACATGCGTGGCTCACCTGCTTGCCTTGCGTCCATCTCTTGTATTCCTACTCACCCACTGTCTTGAATTAGATGATTTCTGGAGATTTCCCACAATTTTCTTAAATTAGAGATGGGCTGTGTAGGTGAGAGATGCTGACATCTAGTTGAATGTGCCACATCGCATCTGGTCAAGCATGTTATTGTTGTATTCTTTGTTTTACCTACAAGGATTATCTAGGGCCCACTATTTTTTAACTCCTCTCTTTGTTTCTATCTCTACTATCATCTGTCTCACAACACTGGTTTCTGGAACACAATATTTGTCACTATTCCCTTTATTTTCTTAGTATTTTATCGCATCTTTTTGTGCCACAGAGTAGTATTTGTTTAATTCTTGACTTTATAGTGTTAAAAGGGGATGATTTCTCACCTTTTAGTGATTTAGTTAATTTTATTTAACATTACACCAGGAACCCCATCAAGACTATTGTTTATAACCAATTCACTCATCTTGACATTTGTGACAGTCTATCCTGTAGGTATATTATAGCTTACTTATCCATGCTCATAATAATGGACATTTAGGTTGATTATGTTTGAATTTGAGAATGCAGCAATTTACTCCTTTTTTTTCACACTATTTCTGTGGTGACAGCTCAACTTTGAGGTAATGAATGCTCTATGGTGAATCTACTCGAATGAGTAATGGAGTAAAAGGAAACACCTGGAATAAAAGTGTAAATTGGTTAATATTTTTAAAAATTCCAGATTTGACTAGAGAGATGGCTCAGCAGTTAAGAGCAATGGACTTCAATAAAGAGATAATATAGAAAGTAAGGTGAAATATGAAAGACTTAGAAATGTTCCCTTTCTTACACAGCTGAGGTATGAACCTCCTGCATGTCTAAGCTACTTAAAGCCAAATCATCTGATTCAGAGGACTTGACTTTGGTTCCTAACACCCCTGTCAGACAGCTCACAACTGCCTGTAATTCCAGCTTTAGATTATCTAATGCCACTGGACTCCTCGAACTTCACATTCATGTCTACAAACCCACACACAGACTTATAATTTAAAAGAATAAAATGTTTAAGAAATAGCCAGATTCAAACTCAAGGGGTTTTACTTAATCATAACCTGACATTGGTCCAAAAGATTGGTGTCAGGGGAAGGGAGTGTGGAGGTGTCTCCTGCCATTATGCCCATGTACTTAAAGAGCATCTCAAAGTACTTGTTTTGCAGATACATTATCTTTTTACTAAAAATACACTATGTGGGTTAGTATAGTTTGCTCACCCCTGTGAAGGAACAGCATATGTGGGTTAGAGATAGTTAATAAATAATGTCCCTGGTTAACCCACACAATTGGCATCCTTCAGCCATGTTTTATATTACCTCTTTGTGTATCAGGGAACATTGGCTCTGCTAACATTACACTATCATTAGTGCTAATGAAAGCAGAATCTAGATTTCTTTACACATTTCCTTTCCTTTGTCACTATGAAGCACACCATGATGCTGACAAGTGTCATTTAGATACAAAATACTAGAAACAAAATAATTTTCCTGGAGATTCTGGGCGTGAAATATGTTTATAAAAGGAAAGAAAGTTTAGATGGTTTACAAAATTATTTAAAGACCCAATTTTCTTGGAGGATTTCCTTTCTTTTCAGTTCCTCTCTACAGCTTGTAAATGCTGCTATGGGGAAAATACCACAGAGCTCAGTGTGGTGAGGGTGGTATACATGATATTATTTTCACTTTTTCAGCAACTGGACAATCAGTTTCCTAGTTATTTAATTAGCTAATAGTTTCCAAGTGTCAATCAAAAAAATCTTCTAAATGACACAGTATGCTTGCATATGAAGGATTGCAATATTTGTTTAAAATAAAAAGCAAATTGGAAATAATTTGGGGAAAATATTTTTTTCTTGATTCTCTACCAGGCCTCCTCCAATATAGTTCTTATAGAAAATCAGAGTTAACACTGGTTGAACTTTGTTATATTTTAATAATCTTTTAGTTTAGATTAATATTACACTCTAAATATGCTATAAGTGCAATTTTATATTTACTTGAGAGATATTGAAGCAGTTATTTAGAAAATTACATGTTAAATGGAGGAGAATCAACAAATTGTAGGTGAGAGAAGACCCTTTATGTCCTAAGCACATCACTACTTATTGGCTTGGCAATATCTTTATGAACATGTGATAGAATGATAATAGAAAAGGGCCAAAAATGGGATGATGGAAATAAAAATGAGTTGTTATTTAAGATGGCCTTTGAAGCTTCTAGTTCAGTACCGGCTTGTATGTAGTGTACTCATCAATAGGGCCTTATAGTCTTCTGGAGAGTAACCAGTGGCAATGGCAGTACCCTGTATTGTTTGGAGGTGGTCTTTAAAAGCCTCTTGACCAATGACTCAAAAGGAGGTATCTGACAACAACCACTGGGCTTTTGTTTGATAATCTTATGGTGTCTGGCAGAGGTATTATCCCTTTACAGGGTATCTCCATTTAAACTCATATATAATATACACATACATATGCTATATATTAGGAAGTTCCTAAAACAGTAGATTTCATACAGCTTTCAAACATTTTTAATGTTAGTTATGGCCCTCCTGACATGACCCTCTAACTTAAACTACAACCATTAATTTTCTACCTGTGTTCTGCTATCAAACCTCCCTTAAATTCTTACTATTCCCAATGACACCTTTTTTTGTTGTTGTTTTCTAGCCCCTTTACCCTCTTTACAGTTTCCTAGCTTCTACAGAAACTCTGATTTAGACACGCAAATCCAAAGATTTCAAGCTAAGATCCCAGTATGAGAGAAAACATGTGTTATTTGCCTTTATGAATTTGACTTATCTCAATGAGTGTGAGTACTTCTAGCTACATTTACTTACCTATAAGTTTCCTGATTTGATTTTTCTTTATAGCTGAATACAATTCCATTGGGGTTAGATAGTGCACATTTCTTTATATATTTATCACTTTATGAACACCTAAGCTGTTTCTATGTCTTAGCTATTGTGAATTGAATAGCAACAAATCAAGATGAGTTAGTATCTCTATATAGGAAACAGAACCCTTTGTGTATATACCTTGGAGTGGCCTTGTTGAATTACATGACCATTCCTTCACTAACATCTTAAGGAAACACCACACTGATTCCCATAGTGACTGCACAGTTCTCACTCCTCTTGACAGTGAATAATCATACATTCTCACCGGCATTTGTTGCTTTTTTTGTTTTCTTGATATTAGCCATCCTTACTTGGATAAGATGAGAACTTAGTTTTCATTTGCAAAGAAAGATATTATGCAAGTTTCTGGAGGAGAGAAGTCATTAGCAGTGTTAAGCAGCAATGTACAATGTGAGGTACAATCTTGACTGGCCTTAGAAATGGTTCCCATCAATGCAACAGTGGTGTGAATGTTATGGTGGTAACCATTCACTTTATGCTTGCATTTAAGTCCTACTGGATAGGACAGAACTCATGTCTGGCATAGTAAACTTGAACAAGAATCCATAGATAAATAATAGGCCTCAAGAGAGAGAGTTTAATTCTATTCAGGTGTTTTTTGTTGTTGTTGTTGTTGTTTTTGATGTTTTTTTTTTGTAAATAGACACAGTATCAAACCACCTTCTAAATATTTACCTTAATATCCATCACTGTTGGTAAGTGTTGACAAGTTGTCAACACTTACCAAAGCACACTCATTTTGCAATGGATAATGGTTAATATAGAGATCCACAGTTGGTCAAAGTGTAGAGAATATGTGACTATGGCAGACTCAGCCTTAATGGAATGTTTCTATTTCACCCTGTCATCTCAAGGCAAGTGTCATCATGGAAGTTGGGTCTCGCAGGAGGACTGGGACAGAAAGATTGGATCGACTGCAGAAGAACTGTTTTCCTGCGTGGCAGGGATGCTTCACACATTATCTCATACAGACTGGTTGCATGGACTGGGGAAGGGCTCATGTAGTCAAGTTCTGCCAATCGACGGTGTCTGAGGAAGTGATAGTCTCTTTCAAGGATGTGTGGCCCCTGGTGCGTTTCCCATGTTTCAATAAATTACTTTATGCTATGCAGCTGTTGGCAGCCCTAAGTGGAGGGGGTGGATAAGAGAACATGAAGATGAGTGGGTACTCTGGTAAGGAGATCTGAAAAGAACTGGTGGAGAAATGGGGGTTAATATGATCAATGTACCTTGTATACATTTAAGAATCCTCCCAAAATAAAATATTTTAAATGTCAAATTTTGATTGATTTTTACATTGGGAGAGCTTTTTAAAAAGTAAGTAACACCATAAAGAGCAAACTCAGGAAAGTGTATAAAGCAGTCATTGAATAATTAGACTTCTGGATTGAAAGTTAGTAAACGTGCCTGCCCTTAGAAGCATTGCAGGTGTGGTTGCTGTGTCACATGTGCATCAGTAGGTGGCAAAGAGGACAGAGGTGATGTCTGTGCTCAGTGTTCTGACCTATGAACATCTTTTGATTGGTAGCCTAACATTCCCTAAAAAACGGGGAGAAAACCACCAGTCCAGCACCATGCAAGCATCAATGGGGAGCAAGCCAGATACTAGAAAAACCCCACCTGGGACTGGGGGCTCTGGACTAGAGTGAGGCCAAGATAGATGACCCTTGCATGAGGCCACTCGGGATGCCAGGTCAGGAGTGAGCATGAAATGACCACTAGACTGGTACCATGAGACCTGGAGAGGGAGCTAGCCCGAAAGGACCATTCAGGGCTGGAGGTCGAGGACATAGCATGCCTGAGATGAATCCCTACCCAGCACCATAATGCATGAGCAGGGCATAGCACTCTTGAGACAACCCCAGACACTCAGAGACTCTGGCTACTCTAAGAGGAGCAAGTAAGTGGTGGGGAAATGAAAGAGAAAGAGAAACAGAAGGATGTGGGCAGAAGTGGAAACTCAAGGGTAATGAGGGGTAGCCTGATGTGAGTAGTTGATGACATCACCTGGGACCATGGTGCAGGATCCTGGCCTGTGCTGCCACTGAGGGCTATTCCAGGGTCTATGGCCTTACAACAGCAGGGTTCTGTTACCACCAAGTGCCAGGTGAACATTCCTGGCCTGGGCTCTCGCCTGAGAGCATATTGATTTCTGAGGACAGTGCAGAAATGGACAGTGGAGAACAGGCCCTCCACATTGCCTAGCATGGGAGATCTGGCCCTTCTACTCATCACTCATGTGGAGATGTGGACTAGGGAGAGATGTCCCTCACCTCACCCCTTACTTCCACTGGCAAGCAGGAAAGCTAGCCTCCCCCTGCACCAGGTCTTAAGAGTGGGAGAGCTGTCGCTGCACCTCACCCGCTGAAACATTCAGAATAACAGGCCCTGCAAGTCACCTGGGCAGTACAGTAGAGCTGGCCCTAGATGTGAGGGTTACAGGTGAGCAGCCCCAGGATGTGAGTATAGGAGAGTCTGCTGTCTCTTGTCTGCTGGGCAGAGGCATGGACTAAGGGGAGATGCCCTCTTCTCTTTCATCCCTTGCCATCTGCAGCAGGCAGGAGAGCTGGCTACAGGTCATGAGAATAGGAGAACTGGCTGTGTACCTCACCTGCTGAAACACTTAGGAGACCATGTTCTGCACCTTGCCTAGGTATCAGGGTAGAATTGGCCCTGGTAGAGGAGTTTGCTGGTAAGCCATCCCCAAGGACATGATAGCAGGAAATACCTGACCACCTCAGATACATCTCAGGCCTGGATCCAGGGCTTTGAATTGGCCCATCCCAACATCTATCCTATGGATGACATGCTGGAGTGTAAGAAGAAACTGGTCCTATGGATCTAAAACTATATGATCTCCCTGACAGAACACAACAAGAGACTATCTTTGAGGAGTCCCAGAGAGGTTTCAGTATTTATAACATAGAAGAAGCCAGAGGGCTCATAACAGACCATCAAGTCATTGCAATGAACAACTGCAAGCAACGAAGTAAGGACAAAATGGTATACTGTGGGACACACTGTGACACACTATATCTTCCACAATGATTTTTTTCTCTGTTGGGAGGGGGTTGCAAGGGTGGAGGGTTGATACAAGGGGAGGGCAAGATGAGTGGGATTGGGATGCATGATGTGAAATTCACAAAGAACCAATAAAAAATTAAAAGAAAATTTAGTAAATTAGGGTTCTAGTCTTAAGTATCATTATGCATCTATGTTACCTTCCAAAAATGCAATTAAGTAACTAGGTCTCTGCCAGTTTCCTATAAAGTGGGAACAGAGTTTTACCTATTTATTCATCTGAGGGAGTTTGAAGGAGCAAATGACACAGTATCCATGAAATTTACCTTCATCAAAAGAAGACAGGGAAGTATTCCTTTTCAAGATATACATTAATAAAGAATAAGGATATGGTTATGTTCAAAACAAAGTAGGTATATTTTTCTATCAAAAATTATTTTCTCTTGTCATCCAAGCTGCCGTAATTGACAAGTCGGGAAATTTAGTCAAATGGCATAAGCTTTCAATTATCAGTCTGGTAATCTAAGAAGGTACACCATAGTTTCAATAGTGAATAATAATTCATTTTAGACTTGAGCTTTGGAAACAGAATAATCTCATATCAGAGTAATTTCATACACTATCAGAAAAAAACTATGTCAAGTTCTGTATTCATTAATTAGCTTGATTGCACTAATCACCTTACAATTCATTCTTAAGTCAAAAGATTTCATGAATTTCATCTTAAGAAACTACAATCGTGTTTTAATTATACTTCAATAAAGGCAGGTTGGAATAGTAGTTTCAAATCCTAAATTTGGCATTGTTGATCTCAATCACAACATTTCTACCTTTTATAGTCCTTTGCATTGCAATGACAAATTGCTTATGACCTATTGAGGTTAAGATATTTCCATTTCCTACAGCAAGGCATTAAAGAAAGAAAACTGGCTAAGAAGTGAAAAACAAATTAACTAGATGTCATAGCTATGCAACTGAATAAAGAACTCTCAGTGACTTTATTGTACTTAGTAAACATTATTATATTTGGAATGTCACAAGAAGTTTCAAAAGCAATTTCTATAAATTTAAATATTTGTATAGCAGTTGGATATTAAAACACCAAGGAAACTGATCATGAAACATGTGGAATTTCTGATAAAAAAATGGACCTTTTCAAGGTTGCACAATGAGATAACTAAATATCTGAATCCAGATAATAACTTGATTGAAATAGTAATTCAAATAACCAGTTGGCGGAGCTAATTCTAGATAATGTAAATATTTTATTTAGGCTTATGTTTTGAGTTAGGCTAATCCTAACTAACCATCCCTAGTGAGTTTTTAGCTACTACTTTGGCTATTTTTTTTATTCATGTTTGAAAGTGTAGTAAGACTGAGGACCACTCTTCTACTCTAGTAGCCTGCACAGCATCTTCAAACAGTATGGAAACTAGATGGTTGGGAAGAAATGTCCTGGTCGGTACCAGCTCTTGTTATCCATGTTCTGTGACTTAATCCTCTCAGGTCTCTGGCAGTAGAGTCTTTCCACTTAGTCCTTGGGTCAATTAAGAACAATGACAATAGTCTATACTATTTTGAGGTCTATGATATTTCACTGAACAATGCATTCTTAGCACTGGACATTTTATTTATCATCCTGTGGTTTCCGGAAGGAACATCATCCCCCACCATTACAGGATAACTCCGTGTAAGGTTTTTTTAAATATGTGAACATATTTTGGAAGCTCCTATAGTGGCGAGTTTTCATATGACTTTCCCAAAATACCTATAGTGTACTCATTCCTCCTCATGTTCCCATCTCTACCTTGCCTACCCACCTTCCTTCTCATTTAACCCTTCCTATTTCATTATTTCCCTTTCTCCTTCAAATATTTGTGTTCTATCTCCTTCTCTTAGAGTATTCCTCGACGTGGCTCCTTACCACGTGCCTGACATGTAAGGATATTCTAAATGAAACTCACATATGTAAAATTTTGGAGCTGACTCCCACAAATGAGACATCCTTTGGAGTCTGAATTACCTCATTCACAGTTGTTGTTTCTAGCTCCATCCATTTACCCAGGAGCTTCATTTTTCTTACCAGCTATCATGTCGACATACCACATTTCCATTCTCTATCCATCCCTTTTTATTTCCTAGTCCTTGTTGATAGAGCATAATAAACATAGATGAGCAAGTAGTAGGATGTAGAGTCCTATGATTATATACCTATAGCCGGAATACGTTGTAGATCAACTTTTGACTTTTTGAGGAAAATATAGCTGTTGTTTTCAACCTTCCCAATGATGTGACCCTTTAACACAGTTCCTCATGCTGTGGTAACCTTCAACTATAAAGTTATTTTGTTGCTACTTCATACCCGTAATTTTTCTACTGTCACGAATCATAATGTAAATATCTGATATGTAGGATATCTGATATGCCACTCCCAGTGGGGTTATGACCCGTAGATTTCGAACCACTGCTCTACAGTAAATTTCAGTGACCACACCAGATTGCATTTTCATTAACAGCAAACAAGTATTCTCCTTCCTCCACATCTATGCCAACATTGTTGTTGTTGTTGTTTGATTTTGGATTTTAATCATCCTGGCTTGGGTAAGATTAAATCCCAGATTAGTTTTAATTTGTAATTCCGTGATGGCTATGAATACTGAACATTTAAAAAACTGTTTCTCACCCATTTGTGTTTTATCATTTGATAACTCTATTTAGATTCATGTCACATTTGATTCTTTTTGTCAACTTTCCTTCTAGTCTCTATCACCTATCCTTCCTCAAACCCTCCCATGTGACCCCCTTCCAAGTTGATAGCCTCTTTTTTTATGTTACTATTATACATATAATGTATATTTACTCACTATTAGATTACTTTATTTTCTCTGAATGAGTGTTTTGCATACACATACATCGGTATAGCATGCATGTGCCCCTGGGGGTCAAAAGAAGGCATGGATCCCCTAGAAATCCAGAGTCTTTTCAAGAATAATTAGTGCTCTTATCTGCTGTTTTATCTTTCTAGTTCTTTTATGTTTCATGTTTTAATTGGCTTGTTTGTATTCTTGATGTTTGTTGTTGTTGTATAAGGATACAAATTCTTTGTCATATGATAGATTCTAAAGGTTTTTTTCTCATTCTCTGGGCTGTTGCTTCTCTAGAATGTAAACAGCTTTCACTGCTGTGATCCTATTCAGAAAGTCCATTCCTATGACTACAAATCAAGTGTATTTTCTCCTTTCTGAACTATCATATCCAGGGTGTCAGATCTTAAGCCAAGATTCTTGATCAATTTGGAGTTGAATTTTGTACAGAGTGAGAGACAAAGATCTAGTCTTATTCCTTTATGTATAGCTATCCAGTTTGACCCGCAATACTTGCTGAACACTCTATCTTTTCTTCCATTGTATGGTGTTGAGCTCTTTGTCAAAATGCAGATGGTTATAAAACCAATGACTTAGATATATGAGTCCTCAGCTCTATTCTATTAATCAATATGTGTATTTCTATGCCAGA